GCTGGTTTCAAAATCCTGGCCTTAAGTGATACTTCCATTTAGGCCTCCTGAAGTGGTAGGATTATAGGTATGAGCCACCGTACTCAGCCTGATTTGTATTCTTTTTAAGCCTAAAGTCAAGTTGAAAAGTTAGGGATCATGAATCCTGGGTGTGTCAGTAAAGGTGCACTAAAACTAATAAAATAGCAGCAGCTAGATGAATGTCTTCTCCTAGTGCAGAGACATCTGACAGGCAGCTTGTGGGCCTGCTGTCTAGCTTCTTCTGGACCTTGCTTTTGGCTGGGAAATTAAAACAATACATTTCCAAAAGCTGAAGATTATTTGCTGTCTCTGGGAAGAAGAGAAGATAATCCGCTAGGTGGCCTGGACAGGGCTGTGGGGAGCCAACTCTCCACAGGCTACGGGCCTTTGCCCTATGAGTCTCTCCTTCGATTTCCCCAAAGCCAGTGCCAGCAGATGAATATTCCAGAAGTCAATCAAGTTGTTTGCAAGGACATGCAGGCCAGTCTTGTAGATGGAGAAGAGAAAGCGAGTTCCCAGGGTGGAATCAGCATCTGTACTGGCTGCCAGCAGCCCTGGGGTCAGGCTGGACACTAAGTAAACAGAGTTGCTGCTAAAGGGCTCCTTTGTAGAGGTTGCAGCTGTCCTGTCATCCATTGTCCCATCAGGGCTGGGGACTGGGGCTCTGCATCAGTGCCAACTCTGTGCAAAAAATCATACTGGGGCAGGCTGTGCACAGGGTTACCCCCAGGCCTTCTCTTTCTGTCTCCCTTTCAGCAGCCCAACCCCTCCAGAGACTTTTTCTCCTTAAGTAACAGAATGCCAGTGTGAAAAAATCCAATGCCTGGGGAAGTGGGGGTTGGGGGGAGAAAAGGAAAGAAAAGAAAAGAAAAGAAAAGAAAAGAAAAGAAAAGAAAAGAAAAGAAAAGAAAGAGAAGAAAAGTTCCCTTTCTAGAATGGGGGTGGATAGAATACCTTCCCAGAACAAAATAACATGAGGTTGAAAATCAAAATAAAACTGATAGCTAGAGTGATTTTGTTAAAACAGGAAAATCATTTTGTTCCATGCTGTCTCTCTCGGAGAAGCTGGAGAGTGTGTCTGATGATAGAGGGGGAACAGGGGCAAGAGTGGGTCTTTTCTTGAGCTATGGGTTTTGGGGGGTGGTGGTCCTGGGTCTTGATGGCTCACTCAGGGGGCCCTGAAGGAATGCCCCAAGGATTCAACGATCTCTGCAGCTCCCTGTGGACCACATTTCTCCTAAGAATGAAACTTGAAATTTAAACACTTTCTCCCCATGCCACCCCCATTCCTTCATCACCCTGCAAGGATGGGGATAGCACTGGAAACATAGGGGAGAGGCAGTTGGGTAGGTGGGCCTCAAGTTTTAGGCAGGTTTTGTCTGAGTCAGACTCTCTCAGAATGACTGAGCAAGTTCAACTTGTATGTAGAGCCAGAGCTCCACCAGCCTGTGCTTACTGAGGTGAAATTTACAAAGTAGCTGGCAGGTGATCTGGTGTAGGAGTGGCTCCCGAGATGAGGCCTCTAACAGCTTCGAGACCCATCTACACTGAAACACACCCTTCGTTTGGACTCTGGCTCCCATTTCATAGGGGTTCCTACACACACTTTTCAGAATTATAGCCTGAGCAGCCAAGCTGGGGTCTTGGTCCAGCTGCCTGTCACTGGCCATTCAGGCTGTCATTGAGCCCAAAGTCAACAGAGCAGTTCAGATCCTTAGAGAGCCAAGCTTTAGCCACTTCGAAGCAGAGCCGTGTCCAAGTACAGAGCTGTGGCTAATGACACCTGCCAAATAGCCACTTGCCTCCTTGCATTTGTTAGCTGTTCCTCTCTTGGCATTTGGAGCTAATTTCTTTGTTATCATTTTTAAGAAAAATAGTTTCTAAATTTCATTTTCATTAACAACTCTCTGCCTGATAATGGATAATTTATTCTTCAATGGTTTTAACTATTCATCTGGGTTAGGTGGCTTCTCTCTGGTTCTCTTTATTTAGTGAACCCCTCAATTTAGAAGATAGAGATAAAATCATACCAAACATGTTAAAATGCTATCAAAGGTGTTGCTAAAAACAAACAAACAAACAAACAAACACCCATACACCCTGACTGAATAAGACCCTTTGACCCTAATTCATGAATTTCAGGGACTCAAGATCCTGCCATCTATTCATAAATGCTCAAGAAGTTGGATTGTCTTTAATTGTTCTTTAAAAAACAGAGAGAATAGCAAGGGTGAAGTGAAGGCCAAAGTTTTGAGTAGTAGAAGCTCCTAAGTTCCTGCTGTACAAGTGAGGGAGAAAGCTTTGAGGTTCCAGCCAATCAAAACATTAATTGTCAAAGTTTAATTAACAGGGAGAATGGATGAATTTAAAGCATTCTGATAGTGGCTCTGGCTGCCTGCTTTCTCTTGTGTGGGATTTGCTGGAGGGATTGCAGTGGGCAACTTAAAACCAACTAGGGACCAAAAAAAATCAGTCTTCCTGGTTCTGGCACCAGGAAAACAATAGAAATTAAAATGAAACCCTTGAATGAGGGTGAAAGCCTCAATTTTGGCTAGCTAGGGAGGGGATGTGGCAAGTGCATTTTTCTTGTCAGTCAGTACACAATCCCGTGGGCAGATTACCTGGGGACCACAAACTTCCCAATATGATCTGATTGTGTAGAAGTTTCCAACAGCCCTCTTTCCAGAATATTTACTCACACGTTTCAGGTTTTTTTTTTTTTTTTGGAGGCAGAGTCTCACTTTGTTGCCCAGGCTAGAGTGAGTGCTGTGGCGTCAGCCTAGCTCACAGCAACCTCAAACTCCTGGGCTCAAGCAATCCTCCTGCCTCAGCCTCCCGAGTAGCTGGGACTACAGGCATGCGCCACCATGCCCGGCTAATTTCTTCTATATATATTTTAGTTGGCCAATTAATTTCTTTCTATTTATAGTAGAGACGGGGTCTCGCTCTTGCTCAGGTTGGTTTGGAACTCCTGAGCTCCAACGATCCACCCGCCTCGGCCTCCCAGAGAGCTAGGATTACAGGCGTGAGCCACCGCGCCCGGCCAGTTTCAGGGTTTTTAATTATTATTATTATTATGATTGTAGTTTGGTGAAACATTCGCCGAGGACAAATCCGATGGCAAATCGTTGCCCAAGCGGTGGTCTAAATTCTTCAAACAGCCAGCAGTTGGGGGTGCGCCTGGCAGAAAAGACTGGGGCTGGAAGCGGCCACGCGCCGGCAGCTCCAGCCCAACTTTCCGAACGCTGCCCTGGTCCTCCCCGAGTTGGATGGAGGCAGCGCTTCCCTGCTCACGGCGCTCCGCTTGGAGCTGGGAGGGATGTGGGGAAATGCCGGGTAACTTTGCCACATCCCCAACATCTAAACAGGGTAATTAAAATGACGCAGATGCTGGTGTTGGACCTTGCGGTTTCTATGATCACTAAAGGCAGGGATTTAAAAAAAAAAAACAAACTTAATTAAGTCTAATGACGGACCTTTTCTTCTCTTGAATAGATGGCGAGTTAAACCAATTAGACACATTCATCAAATTCTTTCCACCAAGTTTCTATAGACATTAGAATATGTTCTCAATACAGCGCAGGACGTTGCACAATATCAAACTTCCAGCGCTGGGGTATGTGGGGGAGGAGCAGCGAATTAGGTTAAAGGAAAACTTTTCCTCCATTCCGTTCTAGGAAGCTGATAGCATGGGGACCAGGTGGGTTTACTCGTGCATTTTCCTAGTGCAGCACCGGTCCACTTCCCACCCAATTTCTTTTCCAAAAAGTCGCTCGAAATCGATGAGTTTTCTTTCTCCGAATCCCTGTGTCGTTAAGAAAACCTATCTTTTCTCGGTGCAGAATAGCGCCTAGGAAAAGCTGGATTTAAAAACCCAAGAAAGGAAATTGAATAGTAGGAAAATAATACTGGGTCTCCCTTTGCATTTCCTTCAGAATCTCCTGCAGAGGCTAGAAGGGTTTCCAAGGTGCCCAGATCTGTGGGTGGGAGGGAGCCCCAGGGAGAGCCAAATATGCAGGATTCCTCCAAACACAGAGTGCCTCTAACGACCTGGTTTCACCAGGTCAGATGGCCTCAGTTCAAGATGATCTTCCCCAGGCAGATTTAAGACTTTCTCCAGGTAGCTGGTAGTTGGAGCTCTGACCCAATCTGCCCCAGAGAGGGCAGAAATCGAACTTCTATGTATTTTTTTCTGTGGCCTGTGTTGTCATGATATTCCCCTAAAATATGAATTCCTTCTCTTGGCTTAGGGCCGGGACACCTACTGTTTGGAAAAGAACTTTCTATTGCCATAGAAGTGATAGGTAGTACTCTAGCTTTTGAGGAAGAAAGAAAAATGAGTCTATGCCTGTGGTAAGGGACCACAGGTTTTTCAACAAGTGAAAGAGTGTGAAATGTGGCTTCCAAGTAGATCCTAAAATGTAATATGAATTGCCTAACATATGGCTATAAATGTAATATTACTATGTATATAAACACACACATTATATTATTTATATATTCGTAGACACACATAGCCACATATGTAACATAATATATATCAGCTAGTACATGCCACCATATTTGGTGTATAGTGACATGTTTCTATTTTATTTTTATATTACAAGAGTACACAAAATGGTATATGTATATTTATTAGGTGGTATATGTCATATATGAGAATATATATGTATATAAGGCAATAAATATTACATTAGATATGTATTATATATTAGGTGATATGTACTAAGCTAAATAATCTCTCTTATACACATGTAGATTTGTATTTACAGTGTGTGTTTATGAACAATTTTGGATGATGCAGAGTGCAACCTTTTGAACTGTATCTGCAGCTGGCTGATACAAAAACAAGCACCTTCTTCCTGGTAGTGCCATTTCTAAACTCTACTCTTGATTGTCACTCATGTACCTCCTCCACTACTTTCATATAAATAAAATCTTAAAAAAAAAGTAAAACATTCTAACCTTCTCTTCACCAGGTCAAGCATACCCCTGCACCTCACAGCTGGTTTGTTCTGTTTTGAGTTTGGTTCTACCCCAAGTTTTTCCTCTGTATGTGGACATTTTAGGGCCAAACTTCAACTTGGTGGAGATTCTGACACTCAGCAGAAGGAGGCCTGAGCAGAAGGCATAACTCAGACCTACTCCCAGCCACCAGGAAATAATGACAGTTGAATGGGGGGAATAAGGTTCAGAGTGAGAGCCAGCACTTGGACTCTGGGCAGGAGAACACATTCCGAGGTGGATATTTTTTTTCCAGCCAACTGTCTTTAAATGCGAGTCTCTGACACCAGGTTGCGGATGAGAAGTGGATAGGAGAGAGAAAAGTTGGGAAGGCTTCGATTTGCAAGAGAAAAAACTTTTTGAATTCTCCATGCAGATGGTGCAAATCTGCCTGTAATCATTTTTCAGCTCATCCGGGAGCTGCTCTCCAAGTGAAGCCCCAAAGTAAATAAGTCACCCCCCCCAAAGTCACGCCTTTAAAGGGAACACCGTCGGCCTAATTACGCTTGAATTATGCAAGGAGCTCCACGGAGGATGGAACTTTAGACAAATAATTGCTCCATTGTGTGGGGCCTGCCCGCCCGGCGCGGCCTCCCTCCCCTTTTCATCACTTGGGCTCGAAAGGCGGCGGGGCTCTCAACCACCTGAAAACCGCCGCTGGGGGCCGAGCCAGAGACTCCTGCCTAATTAACCTACTTTTCCACCCAGTGGATGTCAAGATTTTAGAAAAAGGGTTGAGAGAGGGAAAAGGGACTCACAGGGGTTCCCCCCAACCCCCAGTCGAAACAAAGTTCCTTTGCCAAGTTTTGCAGTTGTGATTCCTTGAAAGCTTTTGCACCTTAGGCAAAAACTTGAGATATCCAGGGAATTGCTTGGAAAAGCTTCCTGTGCTATCAAGGGAGCCTTGAGAAGACCAGAAGATGGAAAATATTGGAAAATGAGTGCCATCTGTGTGCTTCACTAGTGATAAATCATTGCGATCAAACAGGTTCTCAAAGTTTGGGAATAAGTGAGTAAACGTGAAGCTCCCCACAATCCCTAAAAGGAGAATTAGATTAATTTTTCAAATGAGAATGAAATTAAATGAATTTCCGATGTAATTTCCTGACTAAGCAGCAAGAAGCTAGGGATTTTAACAACAAAGAGTATCCTCTCTGACAAGTTGGTAAGGATCACTTTGCTGATCACTCAGCTACAATTATTTATGATGTTCTACTCACAGATGGATTCCCCATTCAAAACCAAATAATTTATTTCCATTTCCTTTCATTTGACTAGGACTGAAATTGTCTTTTCAGGATCACAGTCATATATTTGGATCATTTCCCTGTAAAAAAAATGTTTTACCTCCAAACCTTCAGAGTTCTTATGGAAGCTGTGCAATAAAATGATTGGATAACACACTATTGGCTCATTAGGTCCATTCTGAAATGTTATCTCTTGTTGGAAAAATTCACAATATACTAGACCTCTATGAAGGTAATTTTGGAAGAAAGTATATGGACTTTGAAATTTATAGAAGTTGAGGGCTGAATGAGTTTAGTATTAGAACAGAAAACTAAGAGTCCTTGTAGATTGTTAGAAATATTTTCTTTAAAAAATATAGATGCATTGCTATTCATTTAGTTGATCCCCTCCAGCTTTAAAAACTCCACAGGACACTAGGTACGGTGTACACAAACATTTCTCTAGAGGGCTTATGTATATTTATTTATTCATGGAGCCCAAGGCAACCAGTGTTTTATAAGCAGAGACAGAAATGGGGTGAAGGGCTGGTAGAAGTAAAATGCTTCTGAAGTGAGTTCCTGAGAAGTTCCTGAGTGGTGTTCCTTCTTTAGGAAAGTTACTTATCAACATGCAAATCTTTCTGTGAAAATAGTCAAGATGCCTTTATTAATGGGTTATGAATCCTACAATTACCTGCGCTCTGCGTGTTTCAGTCACCATTTTTCTACCCACACACATACAGATAATCCCCTGTGTATATACAAACAAAAAATACTATACCCGCAAAGATATGCCATAACTATAAACATAAAAACAGATTTAAGAGTGGGCAGAATCAGAGTAGATATGTACAATTAGAGAAGATGAGGGCCATAAAAAATGACAGATGAGTATGTGAATTTAGAAAGTGCTAATTTACGAAATCTTACCTGGCTGAAGTCATAGGCATTTTGGGGTAGCCCCTGACAGGCTGCCTCGGACTTGCTAAATCTGCAAGGTGGGTACAAGGCTCCATAATATATACTCCTCTGGAGTAAGAATTAAAGTGGTGAAAATGGTTCTAATGTCACATTTGATAAACATGTAGGATTTTATGAAACCTGGCAGGAGCTGTTGAACTGTTTATTTTGAGTCTATAAAGTAAAATATTCACATTGATTGCCCATAACTCTTCCCCAAGTTTCTCTGCATACATTTTTCTGTTTACCCTAAACTCCTTTACATATTTTTATGAGAAATCTCTGCCAGTCTTCTTAAACCCTGAAGATTTTATATTCCACATTTTGGTCATCACTTTAAAAATTAAGATATGTTCATCTCAAATAAATTCCATAATTCCTAGAATTTACTGTTTTAAATATTTTTCCATAATATTATTGTTATATATTAAAACACATGAGTAGAACAATTATTTGGTTATTAATATAGGTTACTTACTAACAATTTAAAAAACCCATAACAGTTTTTCTCTGCACTTTAAAAAATCACTCTGCTTGTAATGGCTTAATATGCTTTTTAAAATTGAGACATCCTCTCTCTCTCTGTCTCTCTCTCTCTGTCTCTCTCTCTCATGAAGATTTTAAGGCAAAATTACAGTACCATCATTGGAATGAAGGGTGATAAAAAAATAAATTTTGCTAAATATGCGCAGACTTTGATATGTGTTTGGTCACTTTGTAAAAGAGGCACATAATTGATTAATTGGTGGACCAAAATAGTTTTTCAGACAAGTTTTATTGTCCTGGTATGCTTAAAGATGATGATGGGGAATTAATTATAACTTCTTTCCTAAAGGAAATGTTTCTCTGCAATAATTTATTGTTTTAAATATCAACAAACCTTATGCTGAAAATATGACTATGTGACCTTAATCAACTAAGGTACAAGAATAAAAAATTTGTATTATATTACATCATAAAGTATAAATGAGATTAAATTAAAATAATTATTCAATTTTTTTATAATATTAGCTTTCCATATTTATCTAGCTATACCCCTCACCCCACATATATGTATACATACATACCCAGAGATGGAAACAGATTTATAGGAGTTTAAACCCTTTTTTTATAGGTTATCCACTTATGCAAAAGTAAAGATACCTGTAATGAGATAGTCTTTAAAAAATCGTTATTTAACAAAAGTATCAAATGATAAATTATTTGCTAAGGAATATGATGTACATAATATGGCACTTTCTCTAATAATGGTATCCTATTTCAAATTCTAGATATTCCACTATCTTATTAAACGTGTACTAAGAGATCTTGATTTTAGGTATTTGTTGAGTCACATGTTTAATATGCTAATATTTATGTAAAAACATAATATTACATTATTGTTGCCTGGGAATATGCTTTATGTGTTTATGCTTTTGTAAAATGGGCAAGCTTTATTTATTCACAATTACCTCTTTTTTAGCACGTCTTAACTATTTTCCTGCCCTAATCAGCTCCATAGATCTTTAAAAGGACATGGTTTTTGGTATAACACAACTCTGAAATAAAAATAGAAACTACCAAAAGCAGTTTATTCATATTGGCTAAAGTGATATTTATCTCACACTGCACACATTATATTTTGGAGGTGGAGCTGACATGTTGTGCCAAGCTGCATTGAAATGCTCTGCTGCAAAACTGAGGGCGTAGCCAGCACAACCTAGTTCCTGGGGCCAGGGAGCCTTTTATTAGCTGCCCGTTTGTTTTTCAGGTGGAGAGTTCACCACCTTTTCCAGTTGTGATAAATATGTGGGCTAAAACTCTTCTGTGTAGCCTCTGAAAGAACACTCAGTCTCTTTTAGTTCTAAAAGAACAAGTATCTTTCCAATTTTCTATAGTGTCGAGAGACTCGAGTGGCGCAAAGGCAATATATGTAACCAAAAGATTTGTACCCCCATAACGTGCTGAGATCAGTAAAAAAATAAATAAATATTAATTAACCCCGGAAAAACTCACACTGATTTCATATATGGAATTGTTCTGGCCAGTTCTACTCATATGTATAGAAAAATATATGCATATACCAAATCAATAAATTGTTTTTGTATTGAGAGAGAGGATTACACACTTTCATTGTTTTGTTATATTGAAATAGCCATTTAGAGAACTTTATAAAATTAACATTGCCAGAAAGAATTAGTGGGTTTTTTAAAAGGAGCTCATCTAAATTTAGAGTTATCATGGAGGAAACATAAGCACTAAAGGCCAGCTAAAATAAAATATGACCGTCTGGTGGATTTCTCATCATTTAGACAACTTTGGGCGTAGAATATAAGAGAGACTTGTCTCTTGTGTAGATCTAAATATCACTTACATCACGTGGTTTGGTTTACAGATGAAGAAAATGAGACTCATGGAAATGAACTAACTCTAAATCAACAAAGGTAGCTTAGGACCTGAGATTAGATCATAGAGCTTCCAGTTTCCACTCAAGTTTTATTTGCGGGAATATACACATTAATGATGACTGTAAGCTCTTTTAAAGGCATATCTGTGCCTTTCGCAACTTTATTGCACCTATGCTTGCCTTTGAACAAAAAGCTCTCAATGAAGACTGTGAAGTTAAAAGTCCTGACTGTAGACTACATTTCCTTAGGAAGGTAGGACCAAATCACTCCAGGAAACCTATTCTATTCTAGAAACTTTGGAATAAAGGTAGGGTAGGTATGATATGAGAAATTACCATTTTAGCAGACTCTCATTTGAGAGAAAAGAAAACCTTGGGTTCATTGATAGTTGTGAATCTGAGGCTGAAATAAGTGACATGACATAGGCACATATCTCAAAGGAGCATCTTATAAACCAGAAGTACCAAGATTGGTGCCAAAATATGTGTGTAGATAGGGCTTGCATAAGGACAGTATATCTACAGCAGGTAGAATCCTGAAAACATAATTTAGCATAAATTATCCAAATACTATAAACTTAGTAGTACATAAGTTAAAAATATAGTTATTATTATTTTATTTTTCTGTACATCACTTAGGCTCTTTAGCAGTCTAGAAAAACAATATTGTAGAAAGAAATTAGAGGGACAACTAAAAATATATAGAAAAAATTAGCCAGGCATGGTGGCACATGTCTGTAGTCCCAGCTACTTGGGAGGCTGAGGCAGGAGGATCACTTGAACCCAGGAGTTTGAGGTTGCTGTGAGCTAGGCTGACACCATGGAACTCTAGCTCGGGCAACAGAGTGAGACTCTGTCTCAAAAACAACAACAATAAAACATATTGCTTTTACTTCTACTTTTTAAACTGAAAAAGGTAACTGCTACAAATTAGGTCATTTCCTCAGGGAAATTTTGGGAGCAAACTATATTTGACCAATTTGTGGCTATCCAAAAGGTTCAAAATGTTACAGGGTTTACAATAGCTGTGGGGAATTGGTTTATTAACTCAAACAAGTAAATGCTGATAATTTTGATGCTTTGGCAGTGTAGTGCTTTCATGAATCAGCCAAAATATCTAGAGCACACAGTTTGAGTTGGGAAAATGCTGTTTCTTCTTGCCTATTACAGTCAGTCATTTGCCAACATCTACTTCATATAATCTAAATTTGTTGCTACTTTCTCCAAGCTAGAAATTTGAAAAGATAATTGGTATATTGCCCCAAAAGTGTCCTCTCTATTAGCCTGGGAATTGACCTGGCCTTCTTAACACCAAAATAGAATGGGGTATTCACATCCATACCTGTATTTGGGGATTGAGGACTTCACTTATCTTGGTTTGGTCTCCCTACATCACCAAGGCTCTCTACTTCAACCTCTTTTTTGTTTGGTTTATTGTTCATTTCTTTGTGATACTACCCCATTGCAAAAGATTTTTCTAACTGATGATGAATATTGTCCATATTATTTATTAACTTGCTGATATTATGTTTATTTTTTTCTTAAGTATTTATTTTTCTTTTTACTGGAAATATATATTCTTATTGATTTGCTTTATCTCTTCATATTTCATTTTGTTCTTTTTTTTTTGTTTAGAGCATTGTTTTTTAATATATTATTTTATTTGGTTTGGGTACTATAAAATGAGGTAATAAATATTTTTATTTACTTACTAGGTATATTTTCTTTGCTTAGATTTATATTGATGTTTGTTTGTTGCAGCTTTTTGTTGGAGTTTTTCCATTGGATATCAGAAAGATTATTAAGCATTTATGGACTTATTCATTGAATTATGGATTTATTTTTAATGCCTGTCTTGTGTATTGAACCTTTTTTTAGTCCGGTTCTGTTTTCTTATGAGGATTTGTTTGTTAGTTATATGATATTTTCAGAAAAATGTGGCTAATTATATAATGAATTGGATTATAATTACTAAAATCCTTAAAAAACATATTTTTATGTATGTAAAAAAGATATACTAGCAAATTAATAGTTGGTTCTATTACAAATTAGAGAAAACATTTAAAAATTAAACATGAAGTATACAAATAATAAAAATTGAGAATTAAATAATAGTAAAGCAGAACTTAGTATTATATTCTGCTTAATATTAATAACTTTGTATTGATATTATATCTTTTGATGAAGGTGAGATAAATGTCTGTTATCTTTTCTAGGGAAAACAAAACAATCTTTATTTGAGAGCCTACGGGACTTAGGTAGTAGTTTGATGGGGGCATTTATTAGTTCCCTTGGTTTTAGAGAGAATTTTGCTCAGACTGTTGTGAGGAATAACTCTGCATGTGCTTCTGGATTAGGTATGTGATAGTGGTGACAATAGCAACACAAGTGACAGAACAACTTTAAAATATAATGATATTTCATAAAAGGATACAGGCATTCCTTACACATGTGTTGAGGATTGAATTATTTTTTCAGCATTCATTTCAGGTTTGATACACATGATTTATGATTGAAGCTTTATGTGGAATGAAGTAGAAAGCTGAAGAAATAATGAATCTATGCATTCAGATTAGACCGTTTTCTGAGTACTGAACCAGCCCTATTTTTTCCTCAAGAGCAGATGGTTGGGAATATTT